AAACACATTACTGATCTCACCTGCTCATTTAGCTGCTAATTTACTGTGATTTTGTGTGATAAAACTGAGATTATAAACCCTGAATGGTAGGTTTTAAATTTTGTCATTTGGTTTAGAAAAAGTGAATTGAATTAAAAAACACTGAAGAAAAAACACTTTACACTGAAGACCTGAGCCATAGTTAGAGACCAGAAAATCACAGAGACTTAAAGGTATAGTTCACCCAAAAATTAAAGTTTGCTGTTCATTTACCCTCCGGCCATCCAAGGTGTAAGTGACTTTTTTTCTTCATTAAAACAGTAAACAAGATTTTGAGCTGAGACTGTCAGCCTTGGTGAAAATCAATGTTTTTTTTGGTGTCGAAAAAGCATATCAGGGGACACAAAATTAATGCACTTGGTTCCTGACGATATATTGTGGTCTTATGAAGCGAAATAATCAGTCTGTGTGAGAAACTGAAATGATCTTTAAAAAAGCATCATATGACCCCTTTAAAACATTATTACCTGTAATCCAGAGCCTCAGGCAAACAGGGAAATCTGATTCTTTTCCACAAACTGATTCTTTTCAATGAACTGATTGTTTCAGTGAACTGGTTCAGTTCACTAGTTTGCTTGTGTAATCACAAAATGATGTATACATAATTATATCACTAAAGCAGCCAATAATGATGTGAAACGTGGATGTTTTGCATTTCTAAAGCTTATAAAGTGAATAAACTAGTCTTCATCAGCTCACCTTTTTACATAAACAATAAGAAACCATAAAAACGTAAATTTCACCCCTTCATTCAAGCGCTCGGTTCACGCATGCGCACATCAGCGGCTCTTCGGTTCGAGTCGAACTGTTTCCTCAGTTCACTGACTGTTGGAGGAACTGGAGCACTGAATCAGTTCATTCATCACAGGATCAGATACGCCAGTATTTTGGCTCATTGTGATTCGGAGTGACTGTCAGGCGTCTGAAAGTGAGTTTTGATTGAGTATAACTTGTAGATCTGTGCTGCTCGAACTGCAAACTGTTTCAGACGCTTCAGTTCGATTTGGTGAACTGGTTCATCTAGTTCACAAAAAAGAATCAGTTCAGAAGAATGATTCATTCGTGAACCAGACATCACTCTGGACTGTTTGCCTGAGGCTCTGGATTACAGGTAATAATGCTGTAAATAATGATCAGTTTCTTGCACAGGCTGATCGTTTCGCTTCATAAGACCACAAAATATCATCAGGAGCCATGAGTATTAATTTTGTGTTTTTTTTTTATTATTATCAAAAATGCGGACTTGCATTTTATTAATCACCAAGAACCAGGGTTTCAGTTAAAAATCTTCTTTACTACAGAAAAAAAGCCACCTACATCTTGGATGATCTGAGGGTGGAAAAAATTTAAAACAAATTTTAATTTTTAGGTGAACTATCCCTTTATGGTTGCAAGACACTTTTCAAATGGCGCTGGGCAACACTGTAGAAACCACTCCAAACGCTTAAGAAATATAGCAAAGATTAATCAGAATATCATTGAGGCCACTTCTCAACTGCAACCACTAAAATTAAATGATAATGATAATGATGACTATTATATTTAACTCTAGGATGGTTTATTGTTCTCTTGCTTCTCTTTGTGGGAGTTGTGCTTCTGGCTGTAGGTTGGTCTTGTGGTTATCTTCACCTCTCAGCTGCTCATTTAACACCCCTCTGAAAATTCCTCACCATCACCATCTTTCTCCCTGGCCACGATTACGTTCCTTGTTTGTTTTGTATTCTGCTCAGTTGAGTAATAGCTGATTTTTTTGTAGTCTATCCGCAGATCTCCAACAACAAAGTGAGAGGAAATGATCCCCGACTGGAGCGCTGGGAAGGAGGGAGAGAGTAAATTGAGGCCGCTCTGATTCCAAAACCCCCGGGCTGAAGAACTGGATCTGGCAGGTCTTGGGTTTTACCGCGGTCCCTAAACGCACACTACCTGCAGGGCTCAAATAGCCTCTGTTGGGTTTTCATGTGCTTTTGTGATGCATGATATGGATTGAAAGCTCTTGTGAGATTCTGTTCTGAGAAAACATGCTTTTGTCAGGTGGCAAACGCTCTGTCGGTGTAACTATTTCAATGCCAAACTCAGTCTATAGATGACTGTGAGTTACTTAGATTGACTTTTGTGGTTGCTACTGACATATTTAAAGCAGTGTTGCTATTATTAACTAAAACAATTAAAAAAAACATTTACAGTAATTGAAATAAAGCTGAAATTAAATATAAATAATAAATTATTAAAAAATAATAATAATTTACATTACATAAAAATCAGATACATAAAGAAATCTTCAGCAAACATTTCAAGCTAAGCTAATTCATAATATAAATAAACCTTGAATTACTTTTGATTGACTTAAATATTAAAAAAAAAGGCAATTTAAATGAAAATTAAAATTGTTTCCTTGGCAACTAACTGAAATAAGTTAAAATACTGCAATTACAGTAATGACAAAACCACAAAAAATGTAATAAAACTAAAATTAAAATGAAAACTAAAAATATAAAAAGCTAATTAAAAATATAAATAGAAAACCTTGCGTTATTTTTAGATTGACTTTTATGTTGGCCACTGAAATATTTAAAGCTGTGTTGTTATTATTAACTAAAACTAACTATCAAAAATCTTTTTGGTAATTGAAATAAAGCTGAAATAAAATTAAATTAAATGTAAATATTAAAGAAAGAAAGACAACTAAAAAATTTAAATTAAAATTGTTACCTTAATTGGCAACTAACTGAAATAAGTTAAAATGAAAAAACTAAACTGAAACAGAAAGAAATGAAAGATAAATAGAAATTAATCAAAATAATAAAAATGACAAAAGCACATACTGTAACTTAACCTAAAAAATATAAAAAAGCTCATTCAAAATATAAATAAATGCTATAATAGTTTATAAATAATGCTAAAATTAAATTGAAATACTGATTTAAAGGGACAGTTCACCCACAAATGAAAATTCTTTTTGTGTTTGTTTTGGGGTGAAGTATTACTGTAAATGGATTTATGGTGATCTGTGTGCAGGTGTTTGTTTCAGTGGAGCGGAGGGGGGTTCGCTTTACAGCTCTAGACATTTTCAGAAATCATCTTTGCTGTAAACGGTCTCCTGTGCTTTCGTTCACCTACTGTTCACACATGGAAACATGAACTGCTTGGCACGGACGCCCTCATTGTCTCTTTACTGTATTTCTCCTCGTTTTATTTCTTATTCAAGATCAATATTTACCCAGCAGCCCCTGGGGCTCAGGATTACCTCATATTCTCCAGGTCCAGCTGTGCTTTCTCAGCATCTCCATAGCAACCTCAGGAATGTGCACATCATGTTTATCCTAGTGCCAGGAAAACAGAGAGAGAGAGAGAGAGAGAGAGAGAGAGAGTGTGAGAGAGGAAAGGTTTCTCTCCTTGAGTTACAGGTACCTGAGTTAAGCTTGTACTTTGTATTAAAATTAAAACTTTTCATGCCATGTGACACACATAATGATTAGCAGTCACTTCACAATCAGATAAACTACCGTGATATTAATATTTTTGAAATAAGTCTCTTCTGCTCACCAAGGCTGCATTTATTTGTTAAAAATTTCAATAAAAACAGTAAAATTTTGAAATATTATTACAATTTAAAATAACTGTTTTCTATGTGAATATATAGTAAAATGTAATTTATTCCTATGATAAAAAGCTGAATTTTCAGCATCATTACTCCAGTCTTCAGTGTCACGTGATCTTCAGAAATCATTCTAATATGCTGATTTGCTGCTCAAGAAACATTTCTGATTATTATCAATGTTGAAAACAGTTGTGCCGCTTTATATTTTTGTGGAAACTGTGATACATTTTATTTTTCTGGATTCTTTGATGAATAGAAAGTTCAAAAGAACAGCATTTATTCGAAATACAAATTATTAGAAATGTTTTTATAGTCACTTTTGATCAATTTTGGTTGTTGTTATCATTTGTTACATCAAGTCAGAAACTCTTAATTCTGAATGCAGCATAACGTACTACTGTTAGCTTTAGTTCTAATGTTGTTCCAAGGATTCCAAAAGAATTCTGATTATGATACAATGTTGCAACTGAACTATAAGTAGCTGCTGCTATTTTGTGTCTAAATCTCAGTTACTCAATACTAGCTTCTTTTTATTGAACTGTTGTATAAAACACGCTGGAAATCATGTACTGATTATGATACTTGGCAGAACAACACTGCTTAAAAAAGCATAAAGCATTTTCTTTAAATGTACTGACTGTCTCATTCCTTCTTCTCAAATGAAACATAAGTCGTTTGGACATTTGGACATAAATAGATTTTTATCTTCTGGCATGGTGAGGTCATGCCACCATCATCTAGCCTTTAATGATGATGGAGTGTTTTGGTTTCTGTCTGTATTTAGCAGATCAGCATGAGTGTTTCTTATGAACTGAGAGACCACATAAATCAGCAGCCGCTGACTGTGTTCTGCGACAAACTGCAAGAAAACCCACCATCCTCCCACACGCATCTCTCTGCTCCTGTACCTCAGCATTTCACATCACACTCATCGTCTAAACGCTTCGCCACCGATCCACTGCCATGTGCACATGCTGCTACTTCATCAGAAACTCTTATTTTGTGGTCAGCGATCTGAAGTTTGAGTCCTGGACACCTGGAGGACTTTATTAGATAGATAGATAGATAGAAATCACATATATTCGTGCACTTTCATGTGAGCTGCCATGTTCTTGATTTAGACAACTCTTGCATTGTGATTCTCCTATAAGTGACCAGTGGAAACTTTGTCTTTTCCATGGCAACCGGCAGCTATTTGCACTAATTTGCAAAAGAAAAGCTGTGGAAGTGTAGTGTGCTCTGGGAGAATGTTATATTTGGTCTTTCACAGTAATAGAAGTCTCGTTATTTAGCCTCTCAGTGCACCGGGAAACCGAGCAAACAGACTGAGTGACCCTTTGTCAAGCACCTCGTCCCCTCTCAGGATCATCGCGGCCCTCAGCCATCAAATGGCACAGAGCAGCACGGAGAGGCCAGGCGGACGTCCCTCAAGTGGCCTTCACTGAGTTAGTAAAACAGATCTGGAGGCATAAAAGAGGACACACTCGGGGTGGAATTAAGAGACATATTAAAACAGCAGGACTGGGATCATGGACTGCTGCCAATAGGATCTAACTTCACGGATCTGACCGGATTTGGCAATTGAATTTGGTGATCCACATGACCCGGACAAACCTGGCCACCTCTTCGAAAGCAACAGTGGGTTTAAATGCATGAAGTCTGATCATGTGCTGTCTAATCACAGTGCATAGGCTCTAAAAGTATGGATATGCAAAAGTCATTTCTGAGTCCTGCAATGCTTGATTTGGTCACTGATGTGGACTTCATGGAGATGATGCCCAACACACCCGTTCTGGCCCCAAAGGAGACACACAGCACCGACTGCAATGGACTGTACCAGGACTTGACATCCATCCACGCGCTCGACATCTCGACAGCTCGGTCGAATGACTTTTACGCGCTGTCGTCGAGCACCGCGTCTCCCGTGAACTCCAGCAGCGGGAAACCCAAACGCAAACGGGTGATCAGCAGCGTCCAGCGCCAGGCCGCGAACATCCGCGAGCGCAAACGGATGTTCAGCCTCAACGACGCGTTCGACCTGCTGCGCAGAAAGGTTCCCACGTTCGCCTACGAGAAGAGACTGTCACGGATAGAGACTCTGCGCCTGGCCATCATCTACATCGCCTTCATGACGGATATTCTCGAGAACAACTGAACTGAATATTTCAATCCCATTGTTTAGACGAACGTTTATCGAGGTACTTAAAAGTTTATTATGGAAAAAAAATATGGATTATAATGTTTATTTCTGTCATTTCGGCCTACCTTTATGGCTAGGTTCTCTATGCTGCAATGGTTGCAGGAGTTAACCAATAAAATTAGGACTAGAAAAGATTTTATGTAAAACTGTAATATTTCATAATGTACGCTCTTAAAAATAAAGGTTTCAAAAGGCGTTTTGGGGTTTTTCAAAGAACCTTTCGTTGAACGGTTCTTAAAAGAATCATTTCGTGGTGTGAGGAACATTCTAAAAATCGAAAGAACTTTTTTTTTCGCTATAAAGAACATTTTGTGGAATGGACCGGTTCTGTGGATGTTGAAGCCAATAAAAATAATGTATTTTTTAAAAGCGTATCTGACTTATTGGGGTTTTACAGCTGAAAGGTGCTTTAGTCTAAAACTTCTGTATAGGAATGATCCATTATGATCTTATTTGACTTTTAATCCCTTTGGATATTGCGTCATATTTATCAAAATCCGTGCTGGAATAACGTTTTGCTACTAATCTAATCTGTAGAAATCCAGAAATACTCAAAAAGTAACTTTTCATGTCCAAAGGTGGTGTTTTGGCCTATTGATAATAAGCCCATGTTATAATTTTATTTAAAAAAAAAATACCAATAGGATTGTTTATTGGGTTGGTTCTAAATAATGATACAGTTCCAACAGGGATTCTTCATAAATTGTTGCATCTATTTTGGATTTGGAGGTGGTTTACGTTATAATTGTATTTTAGAAATCACATTAGGATCCTTTAGCATTGGTTCCAAATTACGGTACATTTCCAACAGGAATTTTAGATAAATTGTTGCATTTATTTTGGATTTCTGAGATTATGTTTGGGTGGTTTTGAGGTGTCTATTACATTAAACAAATATTGTTCTTAGCTGTAAATCAAACGCTGTTTCTTTGTAATTGTTTGTGAAATGTAGGCTACTAGCAATTTCTGAGTGAACATTTTTTTCTACACCAAATTATTTTTTATTGTAGTTATGTGGATTTCAGATCTCAATGGACACCTATTACAGGTAAACCAAGAACAGGTGCGCCGCACTAGGATGACCATAGATGTGACACTTTTGTATTAAACATTTTTAAACAGAACATTCCAAGTCATTTAGATCAATCAAATACATAAAAATATAAGCGCATATTTATCTGTCATCTGTGTGTTTGGGGTGAATCTTCAAGTCACATTACAGATGCAAGCTGCGCATTCGCACGATGGCACGCATGGATATGTTTCGTCAGTGCGCCCCCTTGCGGAGTCTTTAAACCTTGGCTTTTTACGCTTAAAAGGGAGCGTTTCTGCGGTCTTGTGACACGAGAAGCCTTTTAGTGGTTTACATTTAAATGTATAATGCTTCTATGTTCTATAACATTTACAGAAACGTCAGTTTGTGCGGCTAAAGCGGGCTCTTTGGATGTATGTGAAAGCAGAAGGCCGGTTCGGGGAGCGTGTTTGTGTTGGACTGAAGCGGCCACACAGTTTGCGCGTCGTCTGCGCTTGGCGACCCGCTGCGTATGAAAACGCTGCAGAAGGAAACCTGACTCTGCAATAACACTAACACAGACATGCATTTCAGAACATGTTCAAATAAACGATGAGGTCTACTTAGAGAACCCAGATTCGCTCTTTTCTTTTACAGTGACTTGAGGTGGATTTCAGAACGACACAGTTCTTCACAACTGCCAGCGCGCAAACTGGCAGTAAATGATATTAATACATTAACGGCATGATTAATGCTTTAAACGTAACGCATCGCTACTGACCAAAGAAAACCTTAAATTTAAACTTTTTAAGCGCATTTTTGGTCCAACATTGCCAGATCGCAAATCATCTCCCCACTCATTCCAGAAACCACATTGAAATCTGTCCAGCTGAAAAGCCCTTTTAATGATTACATATGAATCACTAATGGCTTTGGCCAAAGATTCAGTACTGAATGTTTCAGTTATATACGATTTTAGTGTTTGATGTGTTTTTAATAAATTAATTAAATTCTTGTTCGATTCTATTCTGAATTACAGTTCAAACATCTGCAGAAGACTATGAAGCTAAATATGTCATCAGTTCATCAGCTCATTTATCAAAATGAATCATCAGCTTACTATAAATTTGTCATCGCATGTTTCAGTATTGAATGTTTCAGTATTTTCGTTGGATCACACTGATGTGTTCACAGTTTTGACATGATGCATGTTTGGTATCACTTTGAATATGTTTTGCAATACGTTAAAATCTACAAATAGATTCTATTCCATATTTGAATTCAATAAACATCAGCATTGCTTTAAGAAGGAATATGTCATCCGCGCTGTGATTGGCTCAGACGTTCGCGTTAAAGAACGACTTCTTGTATAACAGAAACCTTTTGGATCGCGCTCCTCTCCCGCCTCTCCCCTCTTACGTCACCGCGCTTCTCGTCCAATCGCAGACCAGCCCAAAAAGTTTGCGCGTTCCAGACTATAAGAGCCTCCAAACTTCCCTTCAAGTTTGAGAAACACCTCCGTGACGCACAAGAGGAGACACCCCGAGAAAGGGACCCCGTTCCGCCGGACAGAGGGAAACTATTATATATTATCTGCGTTTTCCAAACATCAATGTCTGAGGAAGAGGCGATGCAAGAGGAGTCCAGCTCCCCGGAGTCTCCAGTGGACAGTCTGGGGAACAGCGAAGATGAGCCCGACAGGCGACAGCAGAAACGCCGCAGCAGGAAAAGACGCCCGAGAAGGAAGAGCGGCGAGGATTCGGACAGCCCGACGCCCGGGAAGCGGAGCAAAAAGTGCAGCAGCGGCAGCGGCAGCGGCAGCCCGCAGTCTCTGGAGGACCTGCAGACGCAGCGCGTCATGGCGAACGTGCGGGAGCGTCAGAGGACTCAGTCTCTGAACGAGGCGTTCGCGTCGCTGCGCAAAATCATCCCCACGTTACCCTCGGACAAGCTCAGCAAAATACAGACGCTCAAGCTCGCTTCCCGGTACATCGATTTCCTGTGTCAGGTCCTGCAGAGCGACGAGCTGGACTCCAAAATGTCCAGCTGCAGTTATGTGGCGCACGAGAGACTCAGTTACGCGTTTTCCGTCTGGAGAATGGAGGGCGCGTGGTCCATGTCAACATCCCACTAATGATGCGCGCTTTCGGTGCAGCACGGTATGCAGAGCAAAACTTCACAAGTCACTCGACAACAGTCAAAAGTGTGGACACACTTGACTGAGTGATTGATTTGAAAAACTTAAGACTTAGAAGCTCGTGTTTAAATGTTTCACATCAGTTGACTAATTGGCTATAAATGATTATAGGGTACACTCTGAAAAATGCTGGGTTGTTTCAACCCAACTTTGGGTCAAATATGGACTAACCCCGTCTGCGCTTGGCGACCCGCTGCGTATGAAAACGCTGCAGAAGGAAACCTGACTCTGCAATAACACTAACACAGACATGCATTTCAGAACATGTTCAAATAAACGATGAGGTCTACTTAGAGAACCCAGATTCGCTCTTTTCTTTTACAGTGACTTGAGGTGGATTTCAGAACGACACAGTTCTTCACAACTGCCAGCGCGCAAACTGGCAGTAAATGATATTAATACATTAACGGCATGATTAATGCTTTAAACGTAACGCATCGCTACTGACCAAAGAAAACCTTAAATTTAAACTTTTTAAGCGCATTTTTGGTCCAACATTGCCAGATCGCAAATCATCTCCCCACTCATTCCAGAAACCACATTGAAATCTGTCCAGCTGAAAAGCCCTTTTAATGATTACATATGAATCACTAATGGCTTTGGCCAAAGATTCAGTACTGAATGTTTCAGTTATATACGATTTTAGTGTTTGATGTGTTTTTAATAAATTAATTAAATTCTTGTTCGATTCTATTCTGAATTACAGTTCAAACATCTGCAGAAGACTATGAAGCTAAATATGTCATCAGTTCATCAGCTCATTTATCAAAATGAATCATCAGCTTACTATAAATTTGTCATCGCATGTTTCAGTATTGAATGTTTCAGTATTTTCGTTGGATCACACTGATGTGTTCACAGTTTTGACATGATGCATGTTTGGTATCACTTTGAATATGTTTTGCAATACGTTAAAATCTACAAATAGATTCTATTCCATATTTGAATTCAATAAACATCAGCATTGCTTTAAGAAGGAATATGTCATCCGCGCTGTGATTGGCTCAGACGTTCGCGTTAAAGAACGACTTCTTGTATAACAGAAACCTTTTGGATCGCGCTCCTCTCCCGCCTCTCCCCTCTTACGTCACCGCGCTTCTCGTCCAATCGCAGACCAGCCCAAAAAGTTTGCGCGTTCCAGACTATAAGAGCCTCCAAACTTCCCTTCAAGTTTGAGAAACACCTCCGTGACGCACAAGAGGAGACACCCCGAGAAAGGGACCCCGTTCCGCCGGACAGAGATTATATATTATATATTATCTGCGTTTTCCAAACATCAATGTCTGAGGAAGAGGCGATGCAAGAGGAGTCCCGGAGTCTCCAGTCTCCAGTGGACAGTCTGGGGAACAGCGAGGAGGAGCCAAGAGCGGCGAGGATTCGGACAGCCCGACGCCCGGGAAGCGGAGCAAAAAGTGCAGCAGCGGCAGCGGCAGCGGCAGCCCGCAGTCTCTGGAGGACCTGCAGACGCAGCGCGTCATGGCGAACGTGCGTGAGCGTCAGAGGACTCAGTCTCTAAACGACGCGTTCGCGTCGCTGCGCAAAATCATCCCCACGTTACCCTCGGACAAGCTCAGCAAAATACAGACGCTCAAGCTCGCTTCCCGGTACATCGATTTCCTGTGTCAGGTCCTGCAGAGCGACGAGCTGGACTCCAAAATGTCCAGCTGCAGTTATGTGGCGCACGAGAGACTCAGTTACGCGTTTTCCGTCTGGAGAATGGAGGGCGCGTGGTCCATGTCAACATCC